AGGTAGTTGTAATAGCACGAAACGACAGAACTTCTCATGCATAGGCATCCTAAGCGAAGAGTTGCATATACACTGTTTTAATTGCTTTTTACAGTTCCCTTCTTGTCCATTTACGGCTCACTGCTACAACAAGATGAAGGGAATCAACGTGTCCAGCTGGAGCTTGAGCAACTAGACTTCGAACATCCAGTGCTTGCAGTCCGTCTCAGTGAGATGCGTCGTCGCGTCGAAGAGACCGCTGAAAAACTTGTTCGCGTTAAGGTTTGTGCTAATACCAGAGGAAAGCTAAGATGATCAGCGGGAATCACACAAAGCAGAATTCAAAATTTTTTAACTCAATTCTCCTCTTCTCCTCAAGCTTCCAGTATCTTCCTTTTATCTGTATCGTATAATGGGTTAAAATCTCAAATCAGGATCGATATAATGATTGGGCTTGCTTACCTACTAGAACAACAAACCTGCATCGGCAATAAGCAGTTTCATGAGTAAGAAATACCAATAGTTTACGATCTACAATTTAGAGTGTGTTTCCTAACGAATTCTTGATATACTTGATTTCGCTTTTTTGTGCAAGAATGAAGAATCTGATATTTTTGTGAATTACTAAGAAGCTCCAGACAAAAATACGGCCAAAAGCCAATCCTACGGTACCCAAATAGCTATGATTTCGAATAGCTATCTTCTCATTGTTCAGGATCAGTTGCTTTTGATGCTCTCGTATATGGGTGAAGCTCTACCTCGCACAGAATCGGAATTCCGTCCAGAAGACTACCTTTCAAAACTCTGTGATTTTCTCACCTCACTCCACCTTCACAACGAGTTGGATGTTGAGGTGGAGAATTAGACGCGCATCGTCTGTCACCACCAGGATCCTCGTTGGTCTCAACCTAGCGTACCTCCTCTCTATCATGTCCACCTTCAATAGTCCCTCGTCCTCTTCCCTTAGCCTGTCGTGCCAATTTCTGCTTTTGCTCGCCTCGTAAGATCCTGTTGAGATTTTTATAATTTCAATCCATGCATTTTGCACTAAACAATCACACAGGTCAAACGTTACTAGATGGATTTTCACTTCTTGAAATTAGCAACCTCATGATACATCAGAAT